TGGACTAACGGACCTAGACTGAAGAACCCTGGTTATCAGCTTCAAGCCACTACCAGCACCAATACCATGGACGAGTCAAGCATACATGCATGCTTGCATGTATGAGCTTTTTACCGTCAATGAGAGGTCGGTAACATTCCGCCTCCCACTCGCATCCGCTCACTGCAACCGAGACATCTTACAAGGGTTCAGTATCTGCAAGACAAAAACAAACTCTGTTTGCCTTCCCTTTTTCAACTCCTGCAACGCAACCTCTATACCACACGGACTCTGTGTGTGCCGTGCATACATTTCCTTTTTTCTTTCCTCCTGTGTAATTTCCACATTGCGGCCATTGACCTCATAATGTCTCTCCCAACGCACACGGTAGAAGCCACGCATGAGAAGTCAGCGACCGTGAGCTCATCACCTACGGGCGATGAAAGCTCCAACCCCCCTAGCATCTCCCTCTCCTCCTTCCAGAAGCTGAATAATCGCATCGAAGGCCTCGCCGGGCTTGAAGCCCGAGGTATCGAGCGTGTCCTCCCAGAGGAGCGTCAAGAACCTTCTAGTGCTGCTGACTTGCAGGTTGCGGTGCTATGGTTCAGTGCCAATCTGTCGCTGAACAACCTGGCGACAGGTCTGTTTGGACCCATGGTCTTTGGCTTGGGTTTTCTTGATAGTGCACTACTTGCTGTCTTTGGAACGATTCTGGGTGCTTGTTCGACAGCGTATATGGCGACTTGGGGACCTCAGAGCGGTAATCGTACCATGGTGAGTGTCACTGTTTCATCGGTGATGGTGTTAACTGACATGTGTTACACCAGGTTGTTCTGCGATTCTTCATGGGCTACTGGCCAAGCAAGCTCCCAACGTTCCTCAACATCGTTCTCATGGTCGGATATGCCACCATTGACTGCATCATCGGCGGACAGGTCTTGTCAGCTGTCAGCGGCGGTACCATGACCATCTTGGTTGGCGTTATCGTCGTTGCTATCGTCTCATGGATCGTCGCCGTCTTTGGCATGAGGATCTTCCATACTTATGAACGGTACATCTCCTTCCATTTCTTATGCATGCACATGTACTGACGCGGCACAGATACGCTTGGATCGCTCAGGTCGTTGTCCTTGCTGTTCTTATCGGCGTCGCTGGGCCTAACTTCAATGCCGCCGCTAAGCCTACTGTCTCTGGCAATGTTCTCGCTGCCAGTCGATTGTCGTTCTTCTCCCTCTGCTTCTACGTCCCCAACTCATGGGCTGCTGCAGCATCCGACTTTTATGTCTACTACCCAGAGCGCACTTCCCGTCTCAAGGTCTTCTTGCTCACCGTCACTGGACTGACAGTGTCCTTCACCCTTGTGTATCTCATCGCCATTGGTCTTGCTACTGGTATTGTTGATAACAAGGCTTGGTCTGATGCCAATGCCATCAGCACTGGTGCTCTCATCGTTGAGGCTTATAGTCCTCTTCATGGCTTTGGTAAATTCTGCTCTGTTGTTATCGCCCTTGGTGTCATTGCCAACAGCACTCCATCCCTGTACTCTGCCTCCCTTGGATGTCAGGTTCTTGGCCGATATACTAAGGCTGTTCCACGATGGGCTTGGTCAACTGTCATGTCTGTCATCACTCTCGTCCTCGCTATGGCTGGTCGTGAAAGCCTGTTCGTCGTCTTCCAGAACTTTGTCAGTCTGATGGGATACTGGGTCATGCTTATGATCTGCATCGTCATGGAGGAACATTGGTTCTTCCGAGGTCGCCAGGGATTTGACTGGACTGCTTGGGAGGACAAGAACTATCTTCCCGTCGGTCTTGCTGCGCTCGCAAGCTTCATCATCGGTTGGGTTGGTGCTATTGTCGGTATGTCCCAGGTTTGGTACATCGGACCCGTTTCTAAAGCTGCTTCTAATGCGGATTTGGGAATGTGGTTGGGTTGCGGATTCGCTATCATTGTCTTCCCTATCTTGCGATACTTTGAGCTCAAGATGTATAAGCGATAAAGCCGACGTACCGTACATTTGAGAGGGGTAAAACTTGTAACTGGATTACTTTAAATCTAATGACTCGCTCACCCAATATCAAGACAGTCGTTCTGCATTCGGTTCGGCTAAAATCTACGATCTACTGTAATTGCTACCAACCTGGCAGTCGAGTTGTTGAATCCAATCCTCGGACTCATATCATGGCGTGATATCGGGTCCATTCTCACCACTTCGCAATGAACATGTATCCCTAATGTATCGTCGCTTCATGCTAATTCACAATCGTTGTCCATCCCAATCATTGGGACTGCAGCTTGCACGTTCCCGGCAGAGGGCTGGCCTTCCGCGGACTGAGTGAAACATGATGATACCAGCAGCTATTATTTGGCTATCACTATTTGATTGTCTTACCATTGAGTAGTGAAAACGCTTAGATGAGGGTTGACAATAGGGAGTGCAAATGTATGCTCTGCCTTAATATGTTCGTCATGCCTTTTTCTTTACAATTGTTCGGATAGAAATCTCACTGAAAGATAGATAAATATGATGATAAAATTTTCGTTTCGTACATTGGGACAATCATCGGCTATAGCAAGAACTACGTTTATTGTTGGTGTTAACGCCGAAATGTCGCCCCCACTAATGAACCAATCATGGTTAACATTGAAGTTATCGCCGAAGCCCACTTGCGTCACATCCCCATTAACATCGGCGTTCAGCAAGTCAGCGAACAGGGAACCAGAAGGATCATAATGCCAAGATTCCAGTCAGCCGTGTATAAATGGACGCCGAATTGGAAGTCCAATTGCTGCTGACTTGATCATTCTTCAATCATTCTCACTCAGTCATAACCATGGATTCACAACGAAACTTCCAGACTCTCAAGGGAAAGGTCGCTATCGTTACAGGCGCTTCTCGAGGTCTTGGTGCTGGCTTTGCTTATGAGCTTGCAAAAAGAGGTGCAAAGGTGAGAAATCCCCCAGAAGTGTCGTTAAACGTTGCTGAGCATGACAGGTCGTCGCTACATACACTTCCCCAAGCAGTGAAAAGCTGGTGAAGGAGTTGTCCGACAAAATGGCATTGTTCGATCCACCATCAGAGTGTATTGGTGTTAAAGCAGATCTCAAGGACGAGTCATCTCCCGCTGAGATAGTCCGACAAGCAGTCGCTGCATTTGGCTCTCAAATAGATATTCTTGTCAATAATGCTGGAATGGAAGTTGTCAAATCTCATGCTGACATCACGAAAACCGACTTTGACTCAATCTTCTACCTCAACGTTCGCGCTCCTCTCCTCCTCCTCCAAGCAGCAAAGCCCTATCTTCCTTCGTCAGGCGGTGGTCGTATCATCAACATATCCTCCGTAGGTGCCCGATGCGGTTTCAAGAACCTCTCTCTATACTGCGCTTCCAAAGCTGCACTCGAAGGACTTACGCGCTCATGGGCAGCTGAGCTGGGTGAGGAGGGCCATACGGTCAATGCGGTTAATCCTGGACCTGTTCAAAGTGATTTGTTGGACAATATTCCCAAGGAGATCATTGACATGCAGAAGAAGCAGACGGCTGCAGGAAATAGGTTGGGTGAGGTTGACGATGTTGCCCAGATTGTTGCTTGGCTGGCCTCGGAGGAGAGTAGATGGATCACGGGACAGGCGTTGTCTGCTAGTGGCGGATTGGAGATGTACTAGTATTTCGTCTACGCGGTACTATAGTACGACTGAAATAATTACTAGTAAGGTTAGAAGTTGAGGAAGACAATAATATGATGCTCATGGGAAATGCATACCCCTATCGCCATCCCAATAGCCTCATTTCATAAATCACAAATCACATATTAGTCAACTGCATATTTCTGATTCAGGAGTGCACTAAACCCATCATGATTTTGACATATCCGCAACTTCAACATCCTAGAATGACTCCTGCGCTGGCCTCAAATCCAGCTCATGGACCCAAAGCGAACTCGGCTGCTGCGAAAGCCATAAGTAAGTCTGTCCAACGTCCTCAGCTCTCATATGCTTTCCAGTTCTCGTCTCTTCAGTATCCTCATCCGTGATCCTTCCATTCGCAATAGCATGAACGCACTGGACACCAAACTTGCTATGCTCTTTCGCGATAGCCTGCGCGACCATTCTAGCAGAGGCGCGAGTCGCTCCATAAGCTGCATAGCCAGTGTTTGTACGCATGGCGCCGAGGGTGCCAGTGAAGATAATAGTACCCTTCTTGACACCATTTGTATCGGCGAGAAGGGTCTGGCCGCCGTTTTGCTCGTACATGAGCTTGAGAGCTTCTTGTGCAAAGACTACTGCACCGATTGTGTATACCTGCATGCTTTCGTTGAACTCCTCGGGCGTTTCTTCGAGGAACGGCTTCTTGCTGGCGTGCTTGACGTGATAAATCGCCAGGTTTAGCTTGAGATCCTTGAAGTCGGGGTGATTGGCGATGTCTTTGAACGCCTTGCGTAGGTTCTCCGGCTGAGTGTCTGTAGGGAAAGAATGGAGAACTCCATTGGTTTCTTTACGGAGTGAGTCGCGTAGACTGTTGAGGTTGTTGGGGTTGCGGGCCAAGAGGGCGACAGCGAGATTACCGCCATCATTACGGGCGAGAACGCGAGCGATGCCGCGGCCGCTTGTTGGACCGGCGCCAATGATGATTGCGAGACCTGAAGGCGCCATTTTGTGAGTTGAGGATGTTTCTTGTTAAAGTTGTTGTCGGATGGTGGTCTTCTGTCTGTTTATTTAAATATCGGGTCGAATACGTCATGCTGTTACTTTGATGATGACTCTCTCAGCCGTTAAGTCCGAAACTGATCAGGTAAAGATCTCCACAATGGAACGTCAATTAGAAGTATCTTGTATATAACTAGATCTTGCAAAAAGTTCGATCCGCCCTATCTCTGCAAGATTTGACCTGGAATAGGACTCGTTGCTGTGTTGAACATGTCTATATTGTCAGGTGTCTATTCTCATATCATCCGTCAATAACGTCCATCAGATGATTTCCAGGAATATTTCATTACTCACTCCCTGTAGGAGATGAAACCTATTTGGGTTGCTTATCGTCCAGCTCCAGACCTTTCCTCACCTTCTCTCGTCTCCTACGAATCATCCGTATCCGTTGTCTTGTCTTCAAGGTCTTGCGGCACCAACCATTTCTATAATCTTGCGGCCACGTCGAGGGATGGGATTTCTCTAGATACTCGTCTATTCGCCTCTTCTGCCACTCCTGTCCGTTGAGCTGAAAGGTGATACTTTCTATGATGTGATCGTACAATACTTGACAGTATGGCATGGTATCAGCTCTTACACTGAAAACGGCGTCCAAATGAGAAGTCATGAAGTTGGCGAGTCGCTCCTCAGGTACCAGGTCCTTTGCGCATTCGATACAACTCCAGCGAAGCCACCAGGGGTAGTCGTTATCCCTGCAAGAGAGCTTGGTGTGAGCGGCGCCGTCTGTTGGAGCGACGACATTCACCTCGATTTCGTTGATGACGAAGCGCTGGTTATTCTGGAGACCGAGGTATCCAGGTTCATGCTGAATCAAGCTTACGAGCAGTTCGTAAATGGCCCAAACGGCGCCTCCGGGTCCTGCATCTCCACCTGAGAAGCTCAAGCTGTCTTTGAAACGATCGTCGAGGTCGTCGGTTGGCTCAAGATGCGGATACTCGATGTTACTTTGTCGATGTAGCGTGATGTCGGTCGCTTTGCAATATACCACGTAGGCCAGAACCCATAGTTCTTCACTAACATGATATCGACGTGGTAGTTATTTGGAAGACGTCTGAAGATATCCTGTACCTCGACGTAGAACCTTTTGCTGACCAGGAGCAGGCTTAACGATTTGTTCCTGGGCGCCTGCTGCCAAACGCCACAGGACTCCATCTGCGTTTCATATCTCGAAGAGAGTGAAAGAGCTGATCTCGACCATGCTGGCTCTCTGAGGGACTTAATGGTGCCACTGGAGCTTTGAGGACAAACTCAAATATGGCCTGGCGTAGCTCTAGAGGAATATCTTGCAGTTGCATGATTGAGAAGTGTTTTAGTTTTCCGGTAGGGCGAAATGGGACGGTTAGACGTGCTCAAACTTCCATTGGGGACTATAAGCAGCGTCTCTTGTCCGTGTCGACAGGTTGGCACGGTCTTTCAGTAGGGCAGTAGCCCTTACATAGTTACGAGGCAGTCAGAGTCACTCGGCGAACAAATTAACTTTCAAAGCCTTATTGATTAAGATTTGTGTTTACTTGAACCTGTTTGGCTCCATGAAAACCTTCAGAGGTTAAGCTTTGCTTCAGTTGAAACATTATATGGGGGCTGGTGACGCATCACCTTGGGGAGCAAGAAAGCACCAGTCCTTAATGTAGAATGTTAAAATAAACTTAGCAAAGAGTTCTCTAAAATATTTTCATCCCTTTTCATAAAGGTCCTAAGTGTTCTTTCCTTCCCTAGGCAGGGTAAACTCAAGACCTGTACCCCAACTAGTAGAATGTAGACTTTTGGAAGACTCATTTTTTAGTACTTAAGCCGAGGGTCAGAGGTGTTTTTGCTCTCTGAGGCTTGTCACCCAGGTCTATTTCACTACATGATGTAAACATTTAAATACAAGCTTAAGCCCAGATATTTGCTTAAACCCAAACTTCACAAATTCGAACACAGGCTCTCTATACTCAAAATCTTCGTCTAACCCCATTTTACTCAGCCATTATGCATACATTCCCTGGTATTCCTCATAAGCTAGAGCGACAGCCGTAAGTGCAGCCGAAAATGCCTCCCACGTCGCAATTACTCTCCAAGCAGGTCCTTGCAACCAAAAGATTCTGGCCGAAATAAATCGTGCCAAGGTGAGAGTAAAAAAGCCGCGATTCTCTTGGTAGGCAGCCAGCATGTAGTAGATGCCGATGCCGATAATAGCGACTGAAAATCCGTTGAGTGCGGGGAGGGCTGAGTCTTGGAGCTGCTTTGCCGCGAGAGCCTTGCGAGGGGAGATGAGATTGCTGACGCCGTGATTGAAGGCGCTGAGGCCGAAGATGAAGATTGTTACGGCGGTGATTGAGGGCATGTTGATTGTGGGCTTGGCTGAACTTGTTTTACCAAGATTAAGGAAAAGGCTCCTGTGATTCACGGACGAATTTTTGATGAGAACAGATCTCAACATTTCTTTACCTTGTGTGCAGATCTAATCTGCGTGGTTTGCTAGGGCTTACATGAAAATGCAACTCGTAAGCTGCATAGCTGAGTGACATGGCGTTTTCTGGTCACTCTGATTGAACAAGGACTTGCTTTTCGGCAATAGCATGGAATTATCATTAAATCGAGTCACTTCTCATCAAAATGTCGGTCATAAGCTAAAAGCCGAGCTATTCTGCCGTCACAACAGTACAAAGGAAAGGCACATGCCAGAGGTAGCTGACATACTCAGTGATTTGCTATCAATATCTAACCATGCTGCATCTGCTTAGATGCTAGCAACAGCGACCTTGGCAACGAGACCAAGGATACCAGCAGCAGTGATCACGTCGTCAGATCTCTTAAATCCCTCCTCGAAAGGTAGGCGTTCCTCCTCTGCACAACGTCAGCATTATTACGATCTACTCAACGGGCGTACTGACGGAACAGTGTCTTGACCCATTCAGTCTTGGCATTTCCATCGTTCAAGTTTCCAAAGACAGACAGGTAAAGTGCAGTCTCGATGAAGCTGAACTGCTGGAGATCGGCAGGCAGCGAGAAATCTGGGTTAGCAGCTTCAGCAGCCTTGAGGCGATCCTTGCGAGCCTTGGCGGCGGTCACAATTGAGATGGTTGGCTCGGTGAAGTGAGAGGCAGTGGCGGCCCAGATGGTCTCATTGAAGCTGTGGTTGTCGCCGAAGAAGATGTCGGCGCGGCTCAGACTGCCGTCGTGCTCGATGACTACTTCGATTAGCTTGTGACGTCGTGATCTCCGTAGGACACGCACCTCCATGCTTGTTCAGGTCATCGAGGTTGAAGGTTCCGTTATTTCCAGTGGTAAGAGCCTTTGTGCCAACAAGGGTTGTCGCAGCTGGGTCGAGGTTGATGGCGTCGGTGAAGGCGACGATCAGATCTTCAAGCGAGATATGGAGGCCGTCGCGAGGGAGATATCCGTGATTGGCGACAGCGTTAACCATGGGGCAAGGGCTTCGGCCTGTAATCATTAGCCATGGTCTACTTATCGTTATGATAGGACCTACGATCGGACGCAGTAGGCGCTCGCCACTCATTGCTGGCGCTAACAGCCAGAGCTGCAGAGCAAAAGAAGGCAACGTTAAAAAGCATCGTGATATCTTCCAACAAAGCTCAAAGGATACAGAACCAAAATCACAAGCAAGGTCAGTCTCTTGACGACATTTTATCAACATCCACCTTCCCCTGAGCGACGATCATCTTTCACATTCTATTTTAGCTCCCTCCAATTTATGACGGTCAATGCCGAGGCTCACGGACGAACTTGCAGAAACAGGACGAAGCCGTTGATTTGGAGTCGCGAGATTGGTGCAAAATCGCCGCGCGACTCGGACGAAAGATGCAGGTCCGGAGATGAGCCAATAGTAGCGATTGTAATTACCATCTTAAAACGCCTTGTTAATGCTTGGACCCCTTCTGTTGTGGAGATGGAGGGTCCGGGTGGTGAGCCGAGCCTTAGGGAGGAAAGAAAACTTAGGACCTTGACCCTAAGTGATAAAGATTTTTAGGTAAATCTAGCCTAAGCTTAGGGGACTCTTTGTCAGGTTTATTTTGACACCCTATATCAAGGACCGGTGTTTTCTTGCTCCCTGAAGGCAAGCCTAGGGCGAATTACTCGGAAAGGCAGCTCGTGGTGCCCTGTAGATATTTACGGGTTTTATAAGTTTAAGATGGGATTTGATCCGATAGAGTTTCGGCTTGCATGTCTAATTCGTCTTTTGAAGATAGGTGAGCGGATAGACAGTTATTTTTGATTCGTAATTGGATAAGCATTCGTCTTGATCCAAATACCATTCAGACTATTTGCAGCAAACCAGGGAAATGCTCGGACGTAATGTCAACAGCCTTCATAGTCCGCGGCATTTCCAACTCCCGGATGATCAAATCAATTAATCCCCAAGACCAAAGTCTCCGTCGGAAGCCTTCTTGTCCGCAAGCAGAGACTTTACGGTATCTTGCTCCAGCAGAATGTCCACTGTACGCCTCTGCCGATTGTTGTTGGCGTTCTTGCAGGCGTTGAACATGCAGAATGCTAGTAAGGGGGACATAACTAGTTCCGACGTGGCTGATGTTGAAGGACCCCGGCTGATGGCCTATCGCATGGCTTGCACTGAGAGGTGCGCTCAAAGAAACGGCGCGCACGGCTTTGACGACGGTAGTGTAACAAAAATAACGAGCATCGAGATCGTTGGGGTCATGTTTGCATCGTAAGAGGCAATTAGCTACCAACCTAGCTGAGCTCTAAACATAAGATGATTCTATTGGAATTGTATCTTCAGAATTCTAGCTCCTTTGTCTTCCTGATGACATTGTCTAATCTATTTTTCTCTGGATCAACGTCGATCCACTCCAGGTCAATGGGCCAAGATGAATTCACCTGCTCCTCCATTGCCCTCTCTTCCTCACCCCCTTCCTCTACAATATCCACCTCTTTTAAAAGAAAGCTGTTTTCACTTCCAATGCTGCCCTTTAGTAGACGAAGCACTACTTTGGCCACATAACAGTTGATGCTTTGGTCTCCCAGACCTTTAAGAACAAGGACGACAGTCGATCTTCGGCTTTCGAGATCTGCCATCTCAGAGTTCTCCAAGTTCTTTGCGTGCATGAAGCCTACAAAGGCTAGCAGGATTATGATGAATATGTCGTAAGACTCGAATCCGTGCCGCTGATAGTATAAGCGTAGCAACGTCTCCATCTTTATCTTGGCGTCGCTCAAAACCTTCTGGACGCTTTCATCAACCAGTGCGGGAGCTGTTGTCATGCACAGTGTCTCCAGGAGATATACAGTAAGGTTGTAGTAGTGAATACTGAAGAGATTTAGCATAGGTCAAGGGCTCAACGGTTGATAAAACTTACTGGAGCTTGAGCTGCCAGGGAAAAGTGATTTCTGTTGCTCTGAGACCTGGCGGAAGATTTCGATACCAGCTGTCAAGACGGATACAGAAACCTTTGATTCTGTCCACAATGGTGTCTGGAGTATTCTTGAAACCCGAGAAAAACACAGCAGCAACATCGTTCATAATAAGTCGGAACTCAGAGAATGTTCGAAAGGTATTGGCATAGTTGATCGATAAGGGTCCCTTCGCTGATGGATAGCGCAGCCCGAAGTCTCCATAGCAGTCATCTTGAGTAGACAGCTGTATGCTAGGAGGCATGGATAGTAATGGTGCTTTGAACACGTGGAAGCTGTGGACGCTATTGTCTGTCAGCTTCGTCGTGGGGCAAAGAAGTGGGACATACCCTTGTAGCCCGAATAACGCCCATGCCGTGAAGGCCCTCGCATTATACTCAACATCATCGCTATTCGTGGTCGGCGTAGAGAATAGATGCATTGCATGCGCAGCCGCAACGGCCTGGGTCAGATAAGATCTCCCCACCTCATCACTACCATTGGCATCATGCACAATCGATAGGACAATCGCAGCCTGGATATTCGTAAGTCGAGCATTGCCAATCTCCAGCTCCCATAGTCGGCGTGCTTCTGCAAGGAACTGATACCCAAGAGTCCGAGGATTCCAGAACTGGGAGCGATGACTCATCTTAGAGTAGCCGTGCTGAAGACAACGTTTTAGCAATTACTGGCCTGGTAGACTACGGGGTCTTACCTACGCAAGCAGATGCAAGGACTGCATGGACTAAAAGAGAGGAGCAGTATTTGCTTCGGCCTGCTGCCATGTCTTCCAGAAAGTAGTTCTTTTGGAAGGCTGGGTAGAAAGGGTATTCTGTCATGAAATACGTCTCTAGTAGCTTCCGTAATAACTTGTTATCATCGATGATGCACGTCCATTTCCGTGCGTCGATATGGTCTAAGAGAGGATCAACCATTTCGGCTGCACGATATGGAGCCTCGTAAATTATAGAATACTCTGTTGACGGATTATCATCATCTTGTGTCCTCGTCCCACCCAATGAGTACTTATACACCCATGAATCAAGGTACTGATTCCCTTCTTGGATCAAGAAGCTAGGCATTTCTTTGCGATAAGGGAACTCATACTGGTAATAGTGATCCGGCACAACATGTGCCTGTTTTAGAAGATCTGCACGTTGAATGTGGTCAAGTATCGACTCAACATCATGACCGCTCTGGATTCTTCTCAAGATACCAGTGCCTTCATGTATTGGCTTTGTTGCTAGAATACGGAACAACTCTTGGTACGCTCCCTGCTCTTCAAGGGTAGCACGGTAGTGGCACTCGGTCCTTCGTCTGATGCACTGTAAGCACCGAGGTTTGGCGCCGTCGCACTAGAAGAAAACCTTGTTAACTCATCGTCTCGCACACTAGGACAACATGAAACTGCGCACTCGGGACTTGCGTTGCCGACATGGTTCGCAGGCTAAGGTGATGGCTTTACGGCGTCTTCCCAGGTTAGGGACCAGTGGTGGACTCTGGCTCAGAACATGTAGATTTTCAGGGGCCGGGCCTGGCAACAGACTGCGAGGCATGTTCGACAGTGAGTGAGTAGGTTTACTAATGCAACCGAGTGCTGTAGAGAGTACAGACTAGCACGTTCATGATAAAGAAAGGGCGGGGTTTGGAGAGCCCTCACGTGAACTTTCTCTCACCAATCATGCGTTGGAAATGTCGCAGGTAGCCAGTCAGTGACGTCCTCAATACGTCTACGTGATCTATCTTTGCTTTTTATTCCGAGGGGCTGCTGCGTTGTGATGTAATTGGAAAGAAGGGTTAATGGACAGCACCATGGGCAGTATTTAACCTCCCTGTTCTCCTCGGAATATTTGGACCCGGGCTTTGTGATTGACTTCGTAACCCTGGCTCGCTCCAGGTCGGGATGTGGCGATTGTCGTAGATCGGGCTCTCCAGTCCACGCACTAACTGACTAACCAGTGCGCTAATGCAGGGCACGTCAAAAGCGTTTTCAGTGGAGTTGAAACATTTTTACAGGGAGGATCCCGCTGGATCCCATCGCAGATCAACGTCTTTCATCGTTGCATTCGATCTGTTCACTCATCTCCCTTGTGGATGTCAAACAGCTATAATCCAAAGATTTAGTTTCGCCCTTCAGATGCCATCCAGGAAATGTTTGTCGTGACTGTTTTGGCGGAAGCTCCCGTGTATCACCTCATGAAACACCTCGCCCTGACTAGCCGCGTGTCAACCTCCACCACCAAGCTGACGTACAGTACAAACAACCAACCCACAACACGATTCATAGCCAACCCACCCACGTTAAACGCCACAGACATTCTCTTCCGCCGTTGATCGCCCCACGCTGCAACCCGGTATCCAATATGGTCGTTCCAAAACTCGTCCGTTCCGTGGGGCCCTTGTGCCGGTTGACGCGTTCTGTGAGACTAACAAAAAGCCAAGTTTTGCAGTTTTCATCCCGAGTTCCAGAATGCGGAGTTCCGATCTGTTGGGACTTCGGGAGTATATGAGTTTTTGTTCTTCCCCTTGTTGAGAGGCTTTTGGTTCTGATGTACGCTTCGCTGTAGCCATTCGTTCTGTACGGCACGTTCACTTGACTGTTTCTTCTTTTTTCGTTGTATCTACTCTCCTTAATAATGAAGTTCTCTTCGGTTCTCACGAGCGGGCTCGCATCTTTCACACTGGTCGCTGGCCTTCCGACTGTTACATCACCAAGTGAACATTCTGTTCAACAAGTCCGAAATCCCGTATATAAGCGCAATGGAATTGCGGCTCTCGACAAGATATATCGAAAATATCACATCGATCTTCCGGAATATCTCAAAAGTTCATTGCTTGCTCGCCGAGACAGTATCGGCACCGTCGCCAATAAACCCATCGAGAATAATGCCGAGTGGTTGACACCAGTTCAAATCGGAAATCCTCCAAGAACATTCCAGATGGATCTTGATACAGGGTCATCGGATCTTTGGGTATATGGTTCAAAGGTAGCTACTGCAGGCGGTAGCAGCAACCGATACAATGCCTCCAATTCCAAGACTTGTGAGGAGATGGCCGGTGCAAAATGGACGATCGAGTATGGTGATGGAAGTGGCGCATCGGGCCATGTTGTGAAAGATACCGTCTCCATCGGCGGCCTGTCAGTGGAGGCTCAGGCGGTACAAGTCGCTGACAAAGTGCACGAGTCTTTTGCGCAGCAGGAGGAGTTAGACGGTCTCTTGGGGTTGGGCTTCAGCTCTATCAATACGGTTACTCCAAAGAAACAAGAGACATTCTTTGACAATGCGAAAACAGAGCATGGAACTGGGGTCTTTACCGCGGATTTAAAGCATGATGCCCCAGGCACATATACTTTTGGCGTCATCAACAAGACAGCGTATGAGGGGGACATTACGTATACGAGTGTCAATCCATCAACGGGAATGTGGACGTTCACTTCAACGGGATATGCCGTTGGAAAAGGCAATGCCACCAAGACGCCCATCACCGCCATCGCCGACACAGGGACATCACTCATGTTCCTCCCCGAGGCAGTCAACAAGGCGTACTATGCCCAGATCGACGATGCCAAAATCGACGCAACAGCAGGAGGCTACGTTTTCCCGTGCGACACGAAAATGCCCGACTTTACGTTCTACGTGGGGGAGACTGGTATCACTGTCCCGGGTGCTTACATGAATTTCGCACCGCTTGAGGGACCTGTCCCGGGGGAGAAGGAGGGGAAGAGAGAGGTTGGGACTTGTTATGGTGGATTGCAATCGAGTGCGGGCGATATCAATATCTTTGGTGATATTGCGCTCAAGGCGGCTTTTGTGGTGTTTGATGCGGAGAAGACGAGGATTGGGTTTGCGAAGAAGACTTTGGTTGGATTTGAGTAGGGAAAAGTTATAGATATCACAGCAAATTACACTCTTTTATGATTCATATACACGTGTATGTTGTTTTATGCTGTATGTTAGCAGTGAAACGGTGAATAGTGCAATACTGCCTGCTCAGTCTTTGTGCTGTGCACGTGCACAAATGCACAAAGTTGAGCAAACACACAAAATCAAGAAATCGCGCACAAAGACGAGTTGTGTGCTACTCTCCACTTATGCAGGGGCATGGCTTGCACTACTTGTCTCCGTTCTCTCTCCAGTTGAGAAGTACCTCTGAGGGACCCACAGTAAGCACGATGTACCTTTTTTCACATGTAGGAGTCTCAACGATAACGGCTTTGATAAGATAAGAAAACCACTCCCATGTCCGCTCAGCACTAGACATCGGATCCGAAATCACACTGTACTCAACACCAGCAAATATTCAACCCAAGTGTTTGTTCTCATTATCATGACTGTCGTATATTCTATGAAATCACGCTCTCATCAGTGTCTGTGCAATTTTAAACAGCGGTGATCACCCCAGGTCCGCATCCAACAGATGTCAAATGCCATCCAACCGCTCTCTCAACGTTCCTCAATATCTGCGGAACGTGCTCGCTCTTCATGTGCATCATGCCCAGTACAATCCCAGCAAGGCACGCACTCCCAAACTTTGCGACACCATGCTGCAGCACTTGTTTGACACCCTCTCTGATCTCAGGGTCACTGCACTTGAAGAGAACAACAAACAACGGCTTCATCACGTTGTTATCCATGAAGCGGAAGTTTGCTTGCGACCCTTTTAGCTCGTCGAGGATACGGTGCGTCGTGGCGATGATCTCGCGGTACACGGGCTTCGCGTCCGGTAACACCTTTGCATCCGTGTTGAGCTGCAAGTGGAGACTTGACAGACACTCCAGGTACAGTGCTTCAAAGACACTGGCTGTCACGTAACTGTGCGGTTCCTCATTTTTGCGCTGCTGCGTGTAGCGGTAGAGCAGCACGAAACCGTTGTGCCAGCTTGAAAGGACCGAAAAGGCTTTCTCCCATGTTGCTTTTGTCGTCTCTTTGTCGTCGTCAAAGAGATGATGAGCTAGGTGATGCTGCGCGACATCCCACCATCTCAAAGCTTGGTCCAAATCGTGAAATGAAGAGGGCATTTTGTCTATGGAGTATCTGTGTCTTCCCAGGCATCGCTTCGCGGCTAGGAACTCATCCGTGTCCCCGGTGATACCAAGTCTCAGGGCCCAGGGGTAGGTACTCAATCGCTGTATCATGTCAAACAGGGCATTCTCGTAGTCATCAAATACTAAATCTGATAAAGATACACCTTCTTGGGCACTTCGTTTACTGAGATATGCTTCAAAAAGACGAGCAGCGTGATCGTGGTGCAGAACAGCTGCGTGCATGTCCCCGCGAAGGATATCGTAGGTGAGAAAAACAAGAGCCACGTGAGTAACACTACGCAGCGCACGGAGTGTAGAGGTAGCAGTCGTTACAGCACGTACAGTACGTGTATAGTACTGAAGTGACAGCTGATGCGCCTTATCAGCAGCTACAGAGTCAATGGTAGGCTGCGTGAAGGCGTTGACGGCACCGCCTAGGGCACAGCACGTCTCACGGACAGCGGCATCCTCATGGGCCAGCTGAGGCGTGATGGTAGCCAAGGTGTTGTGAGGGAGGGTAGTGCCCTGCTCGTTGGACCAGAGGAAAGTGGAGAACATGTCATATTGCGTCTGGTCTTTGAAGAGCGAGAGAATGTAGGTTGGCTTGGCCAGGATGCGTGTGTCGGACTGGGGTGCTGCACGCGTGGTCGCCACGGCTGTAGCTGTGGTGTTGAAGCTGACGGATTGGCTCAGCGGGAAATGACATGTTAGACCGACGGCCTTGCACCGGTTACAGATTGGTTTACCCTCATCACATTTCACTTTGCGGCGTCTGCATAATATTAGCAACAATTTTTTATTTGTCTGTCTCTTCTGTCTGCACGAACTTGCACTCTTTACAACCAGTACGTGTCTTGAAAGACTTGGTCTTTGGCTTCTTATTAGCGGCATTTTGGCCCGAGCGATCTGCAATGTCAAGGACAGCCACATTGGCATTCGGGATCTAAAGGCGATCAAAAGATAAAACATGTAAGTAAGCCACCGACGACATGAAACGGGTCTGCCCTAGCGGCAATCTTGTGCTTTTTTGCTCACCCGTGGCTTGTTGTTGGCCGGGACCGACACGATCTGAGATGCTGACGGGTCGCCGCCGCGAGGGGGTTGCACACCGCCACCACTAGAAGAAGACGAGGCAGAGGCAGAAGCCTTAGGTTTAGGCTTGAGAGCTATCGTCTGCTCCATCACTCGCACGCATTTACCCTGTCGGGACCGAAAGAGTGTGGCGTGACTGACGGTATGGGGAAGGCGAGCCAAATGCCCGAGATGACACGAGGAGGGGGATGCGTTGTGAGTGAACTGTTCACTTTCGGTGGAGGAGTTTCAGAGCGTTTAATCCTACTGTATCCACATCCGGTGACTCTATACCCAATCATCACTCGGCCTGTGCGAGTTACTCAAAGAAGTTAGGGCTGAGGTCTCGTTTATTTGACCAGATTCCGAATTAGACAGGGATCAGCGCTTCGGTGATCTTGGCTAACCGTCTCAAAACCTCAGCTGCATTCTGACTGCATAAAGACTCTGCAATAAGCGAGCATTAATAACAGATAAATGGTCATATCAGGGACATTCTGCTTCGTAGTGCTAGAGATGATGCCAAAATTTGCCTTGCTGGCTTCCTGATCATGTCCCAACCTCATCATCAGTGCATACCTCACTAATCGAGAGCTGCCCAAGCTTGTGCTACAGACGTGATCTGCGGGCTGGATGTAAGGTCTACCTTGCTTTTGGCAGACTGTTGACCAAACTTCGCTTACGTCTCTTTGCCCACTCAAATTGGTTAGTCTTGATACAAGTGATCGACGTATCCTAGTAAGGGATGCTACACCAGGTCAACTTACAGGGTTGCTTTCTATCAACTCCCGTGGTTTTGTTATGAAGGATGAATACTACTGATGCTAGGGCACGACTGTTGAGTGACAGCAACTGGTGGGTGGAGGTCCAAATTTGCTGAAGTCCGGAGCCTCGGCGCAACAGCATCGTCCGCGTTCTTGACAGGACCTCGTTCAATGTACTGTGTACTAGCATGATCTTGAGCTCTATCGTCTCATACATTCCGCAAAGGCCTTAACCTATTTGGTTCCTTTCTTCTGAATATATTTTGCCACACTGGAAATCCGCATATCGATCTCTGTGATAAGGTTAAAAGATTAAAAGAGGCCTTCAGCCCCCAGGCCACAAAGATACAGAACACCAATAAACACATAAAGGCAAAATACTCGTTGCCCTTTCTCGATCTCTTACGCTATGACAGCATGGACTTCTGAGCACCAAGAGCATCAATCAATACATACTTGCGACTTAAGCTTCACAACAAACCGCAGCAAGTTCATTGAAATGGTCATTCAATATTCCTTTTTCAACCATGGAAGTACCTACTAGCCAGAAGATCAAACCTTTGATAGGTAACTCTTAAGGTAAAACAAACAAAGTTTTTTTATTTTCTTCTATGTTATGGGTTATTAGCTCAAAAACTCTGCGAAAGGAAGTTACATCGTCCAATACCTTGACACCATGACGCAATACCTTCTATAACTTCTGTCAAAGCTTCCATACCGAAAAGTACACATCATTATGCTGGTACATCTTCATGGTTGCGGGGTCAAAGCCTTAAAATCATCATCACGAGCTTGAAGGACGCCCAATAACAACATAAAAAGGACATCTCAAGGTTTTAGCTGAAAGGTTATTTACTAGAATCACGGAAGTTTCCGTTCAGATGATGTATAAATAGAACCTGTCTCCGCCCTCATCATGGAGAGGACACTGTGAAGTAATAATCTACAACTGAGAGTAAAACGAACAAACTTGACATTCTCAGCCATCGACAACATAATTCTTTTATGAGACATGGCTTCTACTGCGCAGGCCACAAATGTGATCTCATCAGTCACAGACCTGAAGGACTTCATTGACTCGATTCCCTTGGGTGCTACGCTTTATCTCGACCTTGAGGGCAAAAATCTCAGCCGCAACGGGACTATTACCATCATAACCATTCTCGTACACCCTACCAAAGTCACGAAGCTTATCGATGTTCAGACTCTTGGTAGCGCCGCTTTCACCACGGCTTCCACACATGGAAAGACTCTCAGAACTGTACTCGAAGACCCTCTCATATCCAAGTGTCTTTGGGATGTTCGAAACGATGCCGACGCCCTTTGGGCCCACTATAAGGTCCGCCTTGCGGGTGTAACAGACATACAGCTCCTAGAGAATGCCTCAAGAGTTGGCGGCAAAACCTACATCCGAGGGCTTAACACCTGCGTCGAGAAGGATCTAAGGCTGGGATTCATGGAACTTCACGGATGGGCCAGAACTAAGCGGGCGGTTACAACTCGCATGGCCGACGACGTCTTCTCCCGCCGCCCGTTGGACGCAGAGACGGAAAAATACTGCATCAACGATGTTTTACACCTGCCTGCGCTACAGGATACTTACACAAAGCGGCTCGACAGTCGATGGATGAAAAAGGTTATGGACGAGAGTGCGCGTCGCGTGGTCGAAGCCTGTTCCCCAGGATACGAGCCCCAATCTGAGAACAAGAAGCTAGGGCCGTGGGGATCAGGATGGGGCGTCTAGACATTAAGCATAGATGAGTGGCTTGAAAGATATGAAGAACACAGGATGGGTGCATTGCAGGAGGAATTGTACGGCTGTGATGACGCTGACTATGACAACTGGTATGATCGGGAGCGGATCAATTCTAAAGACGCCGCATGGGATGGTACTTTCGATGGTTGTTGGGAACATTAAATATACTAATTTCGGTGGCTATCTATTGATAGCTTTTATCCACACTTTTATAAATGCCGCAAACGTAATCTGATATTATAGTAGAACTGCTTGTTGACAATCCATTTTGTAAACAGATGCTGTCGATTTGTCCCTCCGTCTATTTTCACGAGAGGTATCTTTTAAGGCTCTTTTCGGAACAATACCTATTTTCGTCTAACCATTGTAAGAATGTAGAAAAAGAGGTGGAACAAGAGAAGCTTGAGGCCAGTACTGCACATATTAAAGGCATGGTTCTATGTGTTCATGCTAGAGAACTAGGGACAAACAAGGGAAACCTAAGTATGATGTTCAACCTTGTTAATTTGCAGGGGGTACAGTAGGAAAAAAAAAAAGATTATAAATTAAGCTGCATTGCCTTCACAATCCCAACATTCAGTCTTCGTTATCAACTGAGTTCTCAGCCACAAGTCTCAATTGCAAGTAACACATCTAGCTAACATCAGATCCTGTACAACATATCACCAGAATTCTCACGTTGTAGTGTATTGCATACACTGCACTATATAAAATGGATCAGGCATCTTCTACTACAATGCATACAACTCAAACCAGGGCTTTCAACACCTGGCTCTGCCTGACCGAGGTCCGAACCAAAGACATTCGTGGCACTCTGGATGACTTGCGACAAGGGCCTCCACGACCGCTTTCGGAAGAGGAAATTAGCAGACTCATGTTTATGCTCGGTCATGTCTTCCACGCCACAGAAATGGCGCAGAAACTCGTAGACGAGCACGATGAAGACCAGAAGCGCGACCTGCAAGCCGTGTGTCAAGAGGCAAGGGAGGTTATGATTGCGGTGGATTGCATACAGATTGCCATCTGGCGACTCAACCCCGATCGACGTTGTCTTAGTCTCAATGGGCGTGTCCGCCACAATCCCTATGAAGAACCTATTGACAAGTAAGAGGAGAGATTCGAATTGGTGGTATATCTGAAAGTGTATGGATCAAATTGCTTTCATCCTCGGCTATACGTTCTTGAGGAGCTTCTGAGACTTGAACGTGCCCGGCATAAATAGAATCACTTAAATTGATTTATAAACTCCAGCGTCCTTTTATTATCACACTTTTCCTATATTATCCCGAGATGGCCATGTTGCTTATGTTAAGAATTTGAGGAATCTCATTCATCCTTGTAAATGTAAAACCTGCTGTAAAGTTAATGTCAAATTGTTGCTGTATAATAGAATATCTCGATAGAAGCTAGCTGCAAATTGTCCCTCTCTCATAGCTCAATTAGTAAATTCGATAACCCTTCTGTGGGGATTTGGGCTTGGAAAGATTCTGATGAGAAGTCAATCTTAGATTATTGCTGTATTGATGTCCATGTATCTCAGCCTTCGTGACCGCTGTAGAAACATATCTAAACCGAATTCAATACTACACGTTGGAATTAGGCGCTGTTCACTTGTGACTCTCTATATTTGCATGTAAGATATGAGGTCTGTATTCTGTTCGTTGTAATTGCTTCCCACGTTCTCCTCGATCAGTAACAAAAAGCCCTGGATTCCTCTGTTCTCGTCGCGCAACACGATTGGTCTCGAAGAACTCAGAATGAATAAAGAGCATCTGAAATTTATCTAAGTATTTCCTCATCCCATGAAATAGCAGCAGAAGAATTATAAATATAGCTGCTGTGGCTCTTCGATCCAAGACTGAATATTCACTTTCACTTCAACTCTCACTCGCAACATATTGCAATCTTTAGCAACATACATAATAACTCAACAGACCAGTCAGAATTTTTCAATCGATTCTAACGCCATGGCTAATACTTTCAAGAACATGTCGTGCCAGGCCATAACACTCATCGACTTGGTGTTTGAAAAAATAGAAGCTGTGCGAGAAGCTGCTCCACCAATGCCCTCTCAGGAAGAAGTCGACCAACTGCTTTCCTATCTCAAGAGACTCAAAATTCACATGACTGGGATGAAAGAACAGGTGGATGCCCCAGATCAAGAGCTCACGCTGGCGGCTGTGGTTACGCAGGCTAGCGAAGTCATGTTTGAAGTGGACAACATGCAATTTGCCATCTGGTTAATTGACCCCGATCGCCCTTGTAAGAGCATTCACGGTGATGGTCGCGATCACCCATTGGCACACCGGATTGATCAGTAGGAAGCAACTTCACATCATGGCATAGAGAACAAATCGGAGAGCCAATGCACTAAAGGTGGCTTGGGTCGATTTGTTGCGAGATGTAATGTGGTATCCAGGAAAGGCTAGAATGCAGTGGATATATCAGGAGTTATACTGATAGATGTACGAGCAGGTCGAGCTGATTGGTATTTAGGAGTCTCTTGAGGTAAGACTTCGGCGTCACTGGGGGTAACTAAGACTGCAAGATCAATTTATTAGAAACTTAACCAGTGCTTGTCATCACCCTTTGACTGAATGTTCTAATCTTGTTTTGTTTCTTGCATGGTAGAATATTAAAAGTAAGTCTGTGAGTGCGTCTGATGTAAGATACTGTGACTTGATCATATTAGTTGTCTTATCATTGCCGTGGAATGATTCAGGACACTCGACTACAAATTGTTCCAACCTCATGGTTGGGTCAGAAAACGCGGTATCTTTGGGAAACCTTCGAACCCAAAAAAGCGGTATAGCTGCAGACTGTTCGCATGAGATAGCAGATGTGATGATGTTCCATTTCCTGACAGGCCTCCGAAAATGCTATGAACGAGCTCCACCGATGTTTTGAGTTCTAGGCCTTGAGGACATGGAGCTTGTCGATAAATGTACTTGCGAATGAGGCGTGTTCATATTTAGGAAATGACTCTTCTAGTGCGTTCGGACTTGTGCATGTTTGTTGGAAGCTTTACCAACTGTTCTACGGTCCAGAAACTTACAATACACACCGCAAACAGAAAGAAGCTCTTTGTAAGAGAGTTTTGCCGAACATACAAAGGAGGCTATTATTCTATCTCTGTCTTAGGCAAGCGTCTGGTTTCGGTAAGAGGAGAGGATGAAGAACGCCATGGCTTGCATCGAACAATGAGCTCCTAGTCTGTCCAAGGCCTAGTTATGTTCTGTATTATGTATTGTTCAGCTCTGTTACCAGGAAAAAAAGAAAAGAACAGAAATTGGTTTTCAACGATATAAAACCCTACTTTCCTCAACAACTGCACCTGAATGCTACACCGGTAAGACTCACGTCCGCCGTCTCAAGTCTCAGACATTACCCGGTAATCTCAAACTTTGCACTGACATGGCTTCCAACGCGCCAGCAGTTATGCCACGTATCGGCGTCTCATACAGCACATTTGTGGAATTGGTTTGCAGAATCAACAAAGGGACATTCAGGGACGCAGCAATTGACACTCTAGGCAAGGTACAGAAAGCCCACCAAGCTCAATCGCGAATCCTAAATTGCTACCCTGACCTTACGACCGTTATTCTTGGAACCGCTAGGCCGCCTTCCCGCAGATATCCATCACAGCATGAGATCGATGAACTCCTCTGTGACCTGAGAAGTGTGAGATACTTTTTGTTTGACATGGAGCATCGGTTCTGCTCTGGCCACGAGAATGAGCGGAATATGTTGCAGCCACTGGGGGAGGTAACAGCAGACTTGGAGAGACAGCTGTATTGTATTCAGTTGGCTATCAACAAGCTTGATCCTTATAGAGGACCTAAGGATATCTTTGGCATGTATTGTGGTGTTCTTGTTGATGAGAATTTGGCCAGAACTGATGAAGAGGGTGGCACAGGTAGGATTGAGGAACAGATGCAGGAGATGGCAATCTAGATAGGTATGGTTCTTGAACAGGAAGAAAATTATAGGAGTTTTGAGAGTTGAGCACTCTTTAGCGAGCACCCCAAATTCTACGAACATACTTCAGAAGGACACTATCCTTTGTACAGCCACGAGTTTAGTGATTGGTGGGTGATGGAGAGTCTCAGTGCCAGTCATCCGAAATCTATTACCTAAAGCACCATGTAGTCTAAGAAAACAAAGAAAATATGCCTATGAAATGCCAAAACAGAAACAAATGTCGCTTTTACACCATTCATCATCTTCCCCCATCATCGTTTGCCAAGTTGTATCCAAATCCACATTCCAAACCGCCAAACTGCCATATAAATGCCAGTATCCTCAACCACTGTGGTTGAAGTTCAAGTTACCATGCATCTGGGACAGATCTCCCAAGTCATGCCCCGGCACATAGCCCCAGGCATTCTCGTTCCACCCTTAAGTGACGATGTTAGTTTTGGAAGATGAAGCCATGGATGAACAACTTGCCGAGCCCTCCAACATGCCCGTGTGTAGGTACCCCGATAGAGGGCATATGCATGCCATGCATTTGCGCAATGCTCGCTGCCTGCAGCTGATGGCAAGGGCAGGCTTGCGCAACTGGGGCCTGGTGCACGTGCATTATTGTGCTGGGTACGAAAAGCGGAGGGCAATCCTCCGCATAGAAGATAGACCCGTGTCCCGGGATAGCTGTGTAATGCGTTGCCACCGAATATTCAGTCGGGGTGGCGGGCGACGGGTCAGGGCTTGGCGATGGGTTTTTCACGTCCTTATTGCGCCTCACCCTGGACTTTGGAGCCTCTTTCCTTACACGCGGAAGTTTGCGGGCACCTCTCCTGGGTGAGGTGCTGGGGCTCTCCTGGTTTAATTCCTACATCAGTCAGCTTTGTCGTAGAGTGTTTGTCACGGTCTATATCTTGCCTCATCCATGTGAGCTGCAGTGCGCTTAGGTGCCGATGAAGGGAGTGGTCGGCGCTGCACAGCACGCTGTGATGAGGGAGTCTCTTGGAAGGCAGGCAGTAGATATGGTCGAATGTTGTTGTTCTCAGACATAATTTGAGAAGGTCAAGATGTTGGGTGATATGAAATGAATGAAGGGTAAAGTTGCTCAAGCGCCGCTGTGATGCTGATGATAGCAGTCGAAAAGAGGAACTCCAATGGAACCCTCTATGGAATCAACTGTCCTTTTGACCTTCGCTGAGCCCTTTCATCATTTTGAGAATCACGTGTCTAGTTGTCAATTTGTCTGTTTGGTATGGTGATGTATCGGAAAATAACCGTTTGGTGGGTATTCACTCTACGGCGTGGCGTTGGAAATATGACGGGAATCAACGTTAGCGATGTGCTACTGCCTTCACCGACTGGCAAGGAAAATCCTTGTCCCATGTCTGTGCTGCTGTAGAGATGAGGTGGGCGGGAGATAGAGCTGCTGCGTCATGGGGCAGTTCCAACCTGTTGGGCCCTTTGCCGATGTTGTGAAGATGGATGATTACTTGCCCTGTGATATCATGGGGCTGCCAGTACGATGATACTTTTTGGCAGTCCAGGTTCTCGACTTGGCTGTCCTTGCACTCAGAGGAGCAAAGTTGTGATTGTAGGTGATTTCATTTCATTCTACCTTGGAGGCAGTTCCATCACTTCATGATGACTGCCATGCTCGCACTAACGAACAGCGCCACGAGTCAATAGATCTCAGAATGGGCTTTCTATACTCTCCCGTTCGACATCGAACGTTCTAGAAATCCTCTCATCTACATATCTCCACAAGTGCCAGCCAACACGGACGCATGGCGTTTTGCTATGGCCTCTTCTTCAGTGACAGTGTTGGCAAGCGTATGCACCACCATAGCTATTGTCGTAGATGGGCAACAGGGGGCACTTCCTCACATACTAGTTGAAATGTGATATATCCCATTTATTGAAGCCTAGCGTGTTCGCATTACCATCTAGCATCGGAGCTGCCATGTTCTAGCGCTTCTTTCCATCAGATCTCAGTCTCCACGAAACAGACAAGTGAGACCAAGAGTCTCGCCGATATTTCGGTATGTGACTCACTCATTCTGTTGTCTGTCAAATGAAGTTTAGACCGCGGTTATTGACATTGGTCGCCATCACCAAACGTTTGGAGTTGAAGTTGTTGGTGTTGACAGTGGAGACCAATCGGTTCAGAGCATCTGGGAGAGGGGCCGGTCTCCACTTTATGCCGTCCCACGTCCGTCTCACGTCTGTCCCCAGTTCCGCCAACATTTGGAGATACAGGATGAATTTGCCCTTTTCTGTTACGTCCAGTCTGGGATGGGAATCACTGAAGCGAGATGAGTGTGAAATCATCAATCTGAACACGTAGAATGCCCTTGCTGCACCGTACCCAAGCCTGATAGTGTGTTGCACGGAGAAGATTTAACTGCCACCGTGCAGTAACGATGGGAAACGCCTTGAAGGGTTGTACTTCATTTACTGATGACCGGCTCATCTTCAACAACATGAGAAGAAAAAAGTGCAGACACAAAGCCTCGCACGATTATATCTGAGCCATATTCGACTCAGGAGACAAAGGTCGTGGTCGATAGCAACAGTGCTCCCCATACGGAGGAGTATCGTGACTGACTTTGATGAGCACCCGAGGGGAGGGGCAGTTCAACATTTTGCCCAGATTCTAACGCTTGCATAAGTCAATAAAATGGCATAAGCCCGTTCTACACAAAATGGAGAATTGATAACTGCTCCCAGCCACCGTCGTCATCTCTGTCTTCCCCTGTTCTGAGCAGTCTCACCTCAAAAATGAGCCAGCCACGACAGGCAAGCACGCAGAACACGAGACACACATCTTCGCGGCCCCACCTCGTTCCCCGACTCACTGCCTACTACTCCGTAATACTTAACGCGTCGGGGCCAACCTCGTGTGTTGCACACGACACACGCTAAAGCCCCACCAACGCGTTTGCTATCTCGCGACGTGAGCAACCGAAATTCGATGGCTGGAGAGGCATAGGAGAAAGGTACATTGAGGGCGACAAGCTTGAATGTACCTTTTCGCAAGGTGGATACCCTTGTCGAAAAGACAGAAAGGTCGGCGGCTTGGCGTTGCACAACATTTGTTAGTGCATTTGGGGGGCTTCTCTGTGCCCAGATGATGATGATTTTGGGTGCACTACACTGATGCAAGGCCGCCCCAACGTTGAGCTGGCAGCGGCCGTTACTCTGACTGCCACTCGCCTCTTGGTCCGTTGTGAATGCCACCTTGCTCGACTTTGCATGCAGCGATGGTGAGCGAATTCGGAGGCTTGGGCCACCGTTTCTTGCGCATGCTGACGTCTCTTCGCCCACCAGACAACAAGGAATGCCGCCTTGCAGTGGCATC